CCAATCCCTTGCTATGGCACTGGTCATGGGACCACAGAAAGGACATATGGGAACCAGCTGAAGCCCAGCACTCAAGAAAACCTAGTATGTAAAATAATAGTCATAGGGACCTTTTCTTTTTTAACCCCATGATCCCTCAAGACTTCATCATCACTTTGTACAGCTTCTGCAACCTTCATTTTCTCTGTGTGTAGGACCAGCATCTGCAATAAGCAAGATTTCATCAGGAGGAGGGAGAACTTGCAGATATTTTTATCTCCTGGTCTCTTCAAAAGCATAATATTAATTTTAGCAGCCACTGCATGTACTCAGGCTTTGAGCCCAATAATGTTCTAGAGAGTGGGAACTTGGACCTCTTTGTTGCACATGCATGCAGCATGTGAAGTTATCAAGTGTCCATCTTGTGGTGTCCCCAGGTAGATGTTATTGCCCGGTTTATCCTGCTCGTTTCTTTGGGCAGACCTAGGTTTGAAGCCTATTCTCCCTGAGCAACTTCCTGCTATGCTCCACTTGACCATCCTTTCCTTCTGGTGGTCTGTTCCCTGATTCATAGATTCATAGATATTAGGGCTGGAAGGGACCTCGGAAGGTCATCGAGTCCAGCCCCCTGCCCAAGGGCAGGAAGTCAGCAGGGGTCATAGGATCCAAGCAAGATAGACATCCCAATGTCTCTTGAAGGCGTTCAAAGTAGGTGCTTTAACCACCTCTGGCAGCAGGCTATTCCAAACCTTGGGGCTTGGACAGTAAAGAATTTCTTCCTTATGTCCAGCCTGAAACTGTCACGGAGGAGTTTGAGAAGGTTCGATCTTGTCATCCCTTGGGGCACTCTGGTGAACAGACGTTCCCCCAGTTCCTGATGAGTGCCCCTGATAAACTTATAGGTGGCCACCGGATCACCGAGCCTGCGCTTTTCCAGACTGAAGAGTCCCTTGGCTCTCAGCCTGGTGTCGTAAGGTCTGTTTTCCTGACCTCTGATCATGTGCCTGGCTCTTCTCTGGACTCTCTCAAGCTTCTCCACATCCTTTTTGAATTGTGGAGCCCAAAACTAGATGCGGTACTCCAGCTGCAGGGCCTAGATGTTGGCTCCTGTTTCTTTTGTCTTTCTGTGCTTAGCAATGTGGGGTCAGGGCAGCTAGGCCTTTTCCAAGGAAGAGCCCAGACCCCTACAGATTGATCCAAAACTGAAGCAAGAACCAGCTTCAGGTGCCTGAACAAGTGTGCTGCAGGCAGGTGGGGGATTGCATAACCTAACCTCCTTCACATGTCTGTGAGGAAAGACATGGACAAGGAACAAAGAACTCCACCCTGCATAAGGCTACTGGGCCTTAACAACTCTTGCTTTTCCAGCTCGGCTCCTCCAAGTGCCAGTGCAACAAGTTTGGCTCCTTGCCTTTTAAAGTAAGCACCTGCCTCTCAAACACTGCCCTGGCAGCTCTGGTGCCATTTCAAGACCAACACGGCTACAACCTACACCCCTGTTTCAAGACCATGCTTTCTCTCTGCAAGTCCTTAACATGTTCTAGGATTACTGTGGGTAACACACAGGCGGCCCCTGATACCCCAGTCTGAAGAAATGCTTCGCCCACTGCAGCCAAGAAGGGGGAGGACTGTGGCCCCTTGTCCACCAGCTTCCCTGAAAGCCTCTCCCCTGCACAGGACTCCAGCCCAGGCTGCAGAATGATTTGCTCAGCTGTTTGGAGTAGCTCCTCGGTGGATGCAGTGACTATGGCAGAGGAAAGCTGTCCGCGCCGGTCACCACGAGGCGTGTCAGTGCAATCACCGGGCAGCTGCAGACCTCCCATCAGCGACCACCAGCCCCAACGGGCGCCCGATCTCCTAGCGCCCCCAGGGCCCCGGGCGTGCGGGGTGTGCCTATAGCCTGAAGCACTGATTGGATGCCAGCCCGCCAATCACTTGCCTCAGCCCGCTCCCTGCCTCTACGTCATTGGGCCCGCAAGGGATGCTGGGAGTTGTAGTTCGGGGACGGAACTACATGTCCCGGGGGGCTCGAGGCTGAGCGCCGAGGCGGGGGCGGGTTGCTGTAGCAACCGCGCGGGCCAGGTCCGGCCTGCTCCCGCCCGGGTGAACAGCGCGGGCTGCAGCCTCCGGTCGCAGAAAGCCGGGGGTTTGCTCCCTGCCCCCCGCCGCTCCCAGGACCTTTTCCTTCGTCTCGTCCTGGGTCCGCAGTCGGGCATGACAAGTCATTAAGACACAAAAACCAACCGCGGATCATTCACGTCCCGGCCTCGGCAGCACTGCACCCAGGGTGAGCTTCCCTTCAGCCTAATGGATGCAGAAAATCATGGACTAAATATAGACAGTGGATTTATGCCACGTTATAACCTGACTCCGCAGGTACCTCTCTGCTGTTTATCATCCCCTCACTCCCTGTCTCTGCCTCAGCCCCCAACTCCTCAGTTTACATCTTCACCTTTCCTGGCATGCAGACTGGCCTCCAGCCTCTTTATTATTAATTCCCGAGCTTCCTTAGCCTGACGAGGGGTGTTTATACCCGAAAGCTTTCGACGAAGAATTTTCCAGCGATTTGAGTTGGTCTAATAAGAGATATCAGACTTACCCAAAGAGCCTTGTCTGCCTGAAACCAGGATGGTATTTCTTACCCCCTTTCCTGGGTATATTTGACCGTCTCAATGTCTCTGAAACATTCAGTGGTCGCCCCATCCAACTCGCTGCAAGTACTAAGTGCTTTTCTTTCCGTTATTTTAAAACCAGCCTGCCCTTGCCTTGGTCTAGGTTAGCGCTTCCCAAACGTCTCCTCAGCATGACCCCATTTATGGACCCGTTTCCTCTGTGTGGCCCCTCGTTCCCAGCTGCCCACCCCCGTGACCCCATCCACTAATGTTGGCACCCCACTGGGGTCGTGACCCACAGTTTGCGAACCGCTGGTCTGGAGAGCAGTGGGATGGAAAACTTGAAAGGTCTTGGGTAGAAAGGAAGTCAGTTGCACAGTAATTCTACTGAATGTGAAGGTTGAAGCAGGAAATCTTGCTCTCTTTTGTTAGACTGGGCTTGAATCGATTGGGTCGCAGGATTACATTGTTAAACCGTATCTGGAGGCGGAGACTGAATGACTGAGCAGAAGCCCACGGAAGAAAAGACCCCCTGCAAGCCGTGAGATGGTGAGTGTGACGTGAAGGGGCAATGGGTAGAAAAGAGGTATGAAAACTAGAACAGAAATAGACAGACTTCATTGTTGTGATGCCCTAAGGCAAAGGTTCCCGACCACTGGGCCGTGGCCCAATACTGGGCCATGAAGGGTTGGCTGTTGGTATGCAGTTTGCCGGTCTACAGTCACTTCCAGTCCACAGTTTGCCGGTATAAAAAAGGTTGGGAACCAGTGTCCTAAGGCAGCGATGATTGAATGCACCACTAGACTTTTGCAAATCTTGGCTGTCTAGTTAGCACCAAGAAGGAACTGTGCTTGCTACAATTACTTATGGTAATCTTCAGGAATACGCAGGACAGATTCCATTGTTTCATGCATTATATCCCAATTGGCCTGGGAAGCTTTCCCATATTGTGTCAGGATTGTACAAGAAAATCTGACTTTTACTTCATCAATAAACAACAGGGATCATGGTGGACATGTCATGTCTGGTATTGTAAGCCACCCTGAGGCTTTCTGGATAGTGCGGGACATGCATCTAAATAATGACAGTAATAATAATGTTGCATCTGGGCTGGCTTGCCTAGACTGAGTTATCTAACGTGCGGTTCTACAATACAGCAAATTAACAGGGCAGTGATTCTGCTGCTCTGATCAGCACTGGTGAAACCTCCCCTGGAGTACTGCGTCCAGGTTTGCGCCCCACACTTGGAGAAAGATGTGGACAAATTGGAAAGAGTTCAGTGGAGTGCAGCAAAACTGAGTGATTACAGACCTAGGTAATGTGACTTATAAGGAAAAGCTGGAAGAGCCAGGATTATTTAGCTTGAAGAAGAGAAGATGGGGGGCAGCGGGGTGGCAGAGTTGATAGCAGTCTTCAAAAACTGAAGGTTGATTATAAAAAGGATGGGATTAGCTGTTCTCTGTGGCTGTAGGGGACAGGACTAGGAGCACGGTGTCAAGCTGCAGCAGGAGAAATTTGGGTTGGAGATTAGGAAGAACTTTCTGACTGTGAAAGTGGTCAAGCATTAGAACTGGCTGCCTAGAGAAGCTGTGAAATCTCCATCCCTGGAAATTTTCAAAAGCAAGTTGCACAGACCCTTGGCTGGGTTAGTTTAGTTAGGGATGATCCTGCCTTGAGCATGGGGCTAAACTAAATGACTTCTTGAGACCCCTTCTAGCCCTATAATCCTATGAACCTTGTGCAGGAAAAGTCCTGTTGGATGTGTCTTGCTTTCAGTGCTTTTTATTTTTGTAACAAGTCAAAATTTATTTTCTTCCTTAGGCTACAAAACCGAAGAAAGGCTTAAAAGGTATGAGCCCTCGTCTGCACCTCACTATTCTTAGTCTGCTTGAGAATAGGTGGGTCAAAACTGGGGGTGCTCCTGACAACCATAGAAGTCCGAGGTGGGGAATCCTGGCTAGTGATTCACTTCCTTGGTTTAAAGCTGTTTCAGCTTACTTGAGTCGAGTCATTGCTAATGTCAGCTACCCCAGTAGTTCCCAGCCTTTTTTATACTGCGGACCAGCAAACTCACTCAAAGAATACTGGCGAACGGGTATAGAAACAATCTAATTTACATATTTAAATCTATTTTTTACATGGGGGGAGACAATAGCTAAAAATCATACATACACATCACTAGCTGGCTAGCAGTGGTTAAAGCTTGTGCCACGACCCGGCAACCAACCCTTCATGGCCTGCTGGTCGGAAACCTCTAAGCTACCCCTGAAATCAGATGGATTTGCCATCTTAGGCTCCTGGCACATACTAATTTAAAGTTGCCCTGGGATCTGATCCCCAATCCCAACAATTATATTATGCCACACGTACATGGGAGGAGGCATGAGTTTGGGATCGGGATCAGCTTCCAGTTGCACTCTTTCTACATCATTATCCCAGGCTTCTCTTCACTGGCAGATTGAAAGCTGGTCGCCCACAGGTCCCAGGCTGCATTGGGCCTGGTTTGAGGCCCCAGTGTGGTCCCTGGCTGAAGCTGACATAGTCAGCTGAGTGTCAGCCCCTGCCCCAACCTGCTACACATTCAATTTAAGATGCCGTATAAACCAGCCCTAAAAATGTGTTACATTATATGTAGCACATTTTTAGGGCAGGTTTGTCATTTTATGGCACCTTAAAATGGGTGCACATTTTTTACGTTTGCCATTTTTTATGCCATGATTAGCACATTAATTGCTGCATAAATGTAACACATAAAAAGGGCCCTGGGGAATTATGCTGATCCAGAGGAGAGCATGTCTTTGTCAACTTCACCTTACTATCTCCCACATCAACCTACTTAGGTGGCAGAGGTCATTACATGCTGCCCCCCCCGCAGAATTGCTGTTGGCCTAGGTAGGTAGGTAGATAGGGATTTAAAAAGAGCCCCTGGGATTTTTCAATATGCCCTGGGTTTAGAGTTTCATTAGATTCTTTTAATCTCAATATGTGACCAGCAACTGATTGATGGGAGGATTTTGGAGATGCAATAAAGAAGGAATTCCCCGTTTGGCAGAGTGAGGACAGGACTCTCCATAGAGCCCCACTCAGCCCAAACGTTCTTCTTTTTTTTTTTTAAGTAACATTTTTCATGTTCCAAGCCAAATCAATTCCAAATCCATGAGTCATTCAAGAACTATATGTAGCCCTACTACTGGTAAATATCCTCCACCCCCACCTGGGGCTTCAGATGCTTTCAAATCATTTGGCAGGCATCCTCCGTGCAGGCCTAAGCCCAGAGGCTTGGGGTTTGGCTGCCCCTGAGTACCACTTGCCCTCAGCTGCATGGCTGCAGGAGCAAGCTAGGGAGGTAGTCTCCCATTTCCATAAAGTGGGCGTAAAGCCAAGATGTTCCCACTGGAGAAGAAAGTGGGAGGTTAACTATACATTACCTCTGTGAGTAATATCCCATAGGACTGTGCGAAGCTTTGGATAGTGATTCGATTTGGAGGAGATTCAGCCCAATTCAGTGGCTGAATCTCCAAATCCAAACTGAAGCAGGGGACCAATTTAAAGGCCTGAATTAATTCAAAGCTCTCTGAATCTTCGGAAAAGATTCAGAGAGCTTTGATGATTCAGGCAGTCCTCGGTGGCTGCAGTACAGAGCTGCAGCCGACACTGAGCTGGTAAGTACTAGGGGCAGGGGGGGACCCCTGCTAGCCCCCAGCCCCTGCTTGCTCCCCCAGCTCCGACCCCCACGGGTGCCCCGCCCGGGCCAGGTATGGCCTTTTAAGAAGAAAAAAAAAAAACCAAGAGAAGCCCCGGGACTCACCACTACTGCAGTGCCCTTGGGGCTTCAGGGGCTCGTGCAGAACCCCCACGTCGCACAGGGCAGTGGGGATTGCCCTGCCCCCCCACCAGCAGGAGCGGTGAGTCCGGGGGGGGGTTTCGGTTTGTTTGTTTTTTTTCTTAAAAGGCCAGAGCTGGCCTGGGTGGGGCACCTATGTGGGGGCTGAGGGAGCAAGCGGCGGGGCAGAGGGCTCATGCAGAGGCCCCCACACAGCAGGGGGCAGTGAGGATCACCCCCCGCCCGGCAGCACCCGCTGAGTCAGGGTTTTTTTTTTTAACAAGTGCTGGGAGCTGGGGTAGCCATTGCCAGGCTGGAAGAGAGGCAGAGGATGAGCCTAGCTGATTCGGAGATTCAGCAGCAGCCAAATCTCCAAATAAGATTCGGCTGAATTGAACTGGGACAGTGATTTGAATCACCAAATCAAATTACTGTCCTCCGAATCAGCCAAATTCAAAGCGAATACTAGCCACTTTCACAGGCCTAATATCCCATACAAGAAAAGCAGTTATCCCTAGAGACTAGGAACACCGCCTTGGTGGTCACGGTTGGAGAAAATCTTGCTCCCAGTGACATCAGTGGAAGTTATTGTTTGGGTGGCTATGAGAACTTAGGACCTCTTGCTGGTGATGCTTACACTCAAATTTTCGTCCCTGGGTCTTAAGGCTTTAAACATCCAAGCCATCTCAATATACAGAAACAACTTTTCTGGCTCTTGTGTCTCCAGTTTTTTTGATGCAATGGCCTTGCTCTGTTTTCAATAGGTTCCATCAATGATGTGCTCGGTGACCTTCTTGGAGACGATGGTAAACGCATCTTCCTTGGCATTGAGAAGGAAACTCTGTTTATATTGTAGTCTTTCCATGTGTTTGGGGAACTAGTGAAGGATGCTGGCTCTCTAAACAAAACAAAGCTTTCATCTTATCCAGAGAGCAGCTATACTGTTGGTTACTCCTGCAGCCAAATTTTCCCTGCCATACTGTCTCTACCCTGGCCTATAGGCATCCCCTTTAGGGCTGGAAGGACTGCTCACTTTCCATGCAGCCTGTTCAATCTCTAGAGGGTATGAGACAAACTTCTAGAGAGCACATTAGTGGAAGAAATAGAAAAGGGGCAATAGGCATGCAGGAAAAGGAACAAAAGAAATAATGAAGACCAACTCTGCAGTGTCTGATTGAGTGGTTACAGTGTGGCTGTCCTGACATGAAGTATCAGCATTTTGTTTTCTGTAACGCAGAATCCCAGACCCACACAGCAGCAGGATAAACTTAAGAAGGGAATGTGACCCCAAGGTTATTTGGGAACCACTGGTCCAGGATAAGCTTTCACCCAAACATTCCAAACTGCCTGTGTCTTGTTTCCAGATGAAATCCCTGTTAGATCTAACAGACCTTCCCAGCCTTCTGGGACCAGTGGAGGGAGACCCAGGGGACCCAGCTCCAGGACCAGCAACAAGTGAGTACGTCTGAATTGTGCCATTAAATAGGTGATTGAAGAAAGAGGCCTTGCTCCCTACTGGTCTCTCTGCACCCTGTAAGTTGTACAGTCATTTCCCAAGCCTCACTTCCTAGTACTAGTAATTTAGGTTCTGAATTTACAATTATCACCATGGGGGAATGTTTTTTTAAGGATCAACAAGGGCATCAGGCTCTCTTCCCTGTGTATTTCAGTAGGCATTGGGCAGCTCTCTGCCTTCACACTTTTGGAAATCTCATTCTGAATATTGTTTAGTTAAAAATGATGAGCCATGCTGTGATCTTGATTAACCCCTTGTCTGTTGATGTAATAAGACTCCTGTAATGGGTTAGGCAGGGAACACTAGAACAATACATAGAAAAAACAGCCATCCAAATACTAGCTTGTCTGAATAAATCCTTCATTGTAGGGGCCTCTTCCAGTCCTCTCCTACTTTAAATGTCAGATGTGCTTCACACACCACAGATGACTTCTGCAGCAACCTCCATCTTGACTTTCTGTGTTGGGATTAGTGAAGTGCAAGAAGAGAAGTGCCTAATCCTCCTGCTTGTCCCTTGCAGATCCCTTTTTGAGGATGACTTTTTCAGCAAGCTGGCTGCTGAGGAAGGTGCAGCTACAGAGGTGAGTGTCCTTCAGCAGAGAGAGTCCTCATGGTCTCTAGATTTCTAGTGTATGTGAGGCAGAAGGTTGGAGGACAGGCCACATAGCAAACACACAGAGCTAGAGTCAGTCATGCATGGTACAATTCCATTGGAGGCAACAGCAGCACATCAGAGATGAATCTGACTGTAGAAATCTCACTGACTGAAGAGCTTTTTCACATGTTCCTCTAATTGTTCTAAAACAGGAATGACATAGGTTGATGAGAAAATGAGAAGTAAAAATCTTAAATGAGGCTGAATGCTACCAGGGTGACTTGCATGACAATATAGTTTAGTCTGATATAATGTCCTTCAGACAAAGAATCTCCAAACACTTTATAGTGAAAGTAAATAAGCAAAAGTGATAGTGCTGTTTCCATGAATTACAGCCAGAGTTCATCAAGAAAATTTCCCCAGATCAAGAGTTTCCCCATAACTGTTTCATTCTCTCAAAGAATTGAAAAATACCCAAGCTTCATGAAAGCATTTGACAAACAGTAGTTAACACGGATAATGCTCCCAGTAGTGAGGCACATCTTTCTGTTCCTATGTTACGAGTTGAAGAAATTTAAAAGTCCTGAGTGCTGATGTGAATTGTCCAGGATCACAGTGAATCAGCAGCAGAACTGGGATTCTTAGCTTCTGTGTTGCTGGTCTAACATCTGTAGATGCATCATCTTCTCTGTTACCACATCAGACAGACTTCCTGGCACTTTGTTTTAATGTGGACAGGACTTGGGTTATCTGATTCATTTATTCATTTTCAGACTAGACAACAGCTAGCTATGGAATAGCAGGTGTAGAATAATAGGTGCCTAAAAAGGATAGAGTTTTCTGTATCAAGTGAAAATATTTAAACAAAAAATAAAACATTCCTTTGTCTTCTGGGCTTGTTGGAACCTCTTCTAGTGCCATATGCTTCTGAAAATGCCCATGTTTGTTCTCTCTCCCTATCTGGTATGCAGGGATCTGATGTTTCGGATGCAGATCCACAAGCTCTGCTAGAATCCTTGAAGGTAACTGAGTAAAATATTGATAATCTCAGAGCTTTGTTGAGTTGAAACTAACCCCTGACTTCTCTCCAAGTCTGTATTCCTGATTCTCCTAACTGTGGTTTAACTGGCAGCCAGTCTTCCCAGATCTTTTCTTCACAGGCAACACTGTTGTATCTTTGGTTGCATCTTAGTTCTGAGGACTAACGTGACAAAAATGAAAGGCTTGCAACATCAATCTTTGCTTCCCATCCATGTCCAGTTAAAAACCTCATGGCTGGAAGTCACTGAAAACTGGGGAGACCAGCATGTTTGCTGAAGCTGACATGAAGAAGCTTTTTTGTGGCATGACCCTTACCTCTCCCTGGGGCCACCCCAGTGAGGTAATGTTGGTATCAAGCATGCTACCATTGCTTCTCTGGTTAGGAGCAGAACTAGAGCCAGACTGGGAAATAGACCTGAAGTGAAGATCCACTTACCACCTTCTGGGTAAATCCTCCCCAGGCAGAGAGCAGTGCCTTGAGGTCTCCACCCCTGGGCAGCATATAAAAAATGTATCACATACCACAGACTTGGTTTTACTTGACCTGTGTTAATGACCATGCAAAACTTCATATGTGCTCTACTGGCTGAGCTCCAGAGCCCTGGCTCAGCTCCTTGTGCTCCTGAATGTTCTGCTTATCTCCAGGATATGGACAACATGGAAGCTGATCTCTTAGGCATAAAAAAGCCTGGTTCTGGGCCTGGCAGGACAACTGCAAAGAGTCCTGAGAAGATTGAGTCATCAAGAAACCCAGTAAAACCAGCAGGGAAGCTAACAAGTACTGAGAAAGGTAAGTGGGGACGCCTATGAGTTTTCTTTCTGTACAGCTCAACTGATTTCCGATTGACTTGGCTTGAAGCTGTTGTGCATTGGGGCTTTGAACATGGAGTACCCTTAGTGGCATGGATGTTCCCATGTAGAAAGATGATTTTGGCTACCTAGAAGCAGGGCCTCCAATATGGTCAGTGGATCATAGTTAGGGACATTGCTAGTCCCTGACCAAGGCTCTTGGATGTGGGGATCCTCACCCTCTAGAAACTCAGTTCTCTTGAATCTGCCCTTTGTATTCAGTAGCACAAAGTGGTCCAATAAGAGTACCCCTTGACATTTTGCCCAGCTAAGCGTTATGCCCAGATCTCTAATTCTCTGTTTTAGAGGACTGTAGTGGTCTTCCTCTTAACACACAGGCACTGCCTCACCAGTCTGCATATCCATTTATATAGCTTAATGCCTGCCTGTATGTGAAACCCCATTTCTGACCGTGTCAATGCCCTCCCTTTTGTGGCAGAGTTGGCAACTAGGATCGAAAAGAAAGTTCTTACCACTCCCCCGACCACCTGGCAGCAATATAAGAAGTTTTCCTTTGAAAGTAAGATCTTGCTGTAGCCCCAAGTGGACAGCTGCAGCTATGCTCTCTCTATGCTTACTGTTTAACATCCTGATTTAAGGGGAAGGGTGTAGGGAGTCATCCCCTTTAGTGATAGGGTTGCTGGAGGAGTGGATGGATAATAGGAATCAGAGAGGTCATCAGCTCAAATCTGGGCCAGGTCAAAGTACCATGAAGGTACCTGTGTGATGGGAGTTGCTGGTCTTCTTCAGCAGTTTCTAATGTGTCCATACTGTAAATGTTTTCATCAGGATAGTGACAGAGAGGTCTAGCTTTAAGTAGGCTAGAAGACCTGAGCTCCCTTTTGTTCCAGGGAGGCTCTCTAGGTCAGGTGTCGAAGCCACAGGGCAGCTAAGACTCCTCTGTTATCCCTGCTGTCATAATAGAGCCGACTTCAGCTTCCAGGCACCATTTGCCAGCACCAAATTCACTTGAATTAAGTCCTGTGTTATACATTGCCCAAATGCCTCCAAATTATATCAGCAAGCATAAGGTAGGAGAGAGTGTACCAATTGGTCATGGAAATGCCAAAGAAACGTCCCAGAGAGTAAGTGGGTGGTACATGCGTATGTGTGAGGATCTCTTTTAGTTCATTTCTCTATCCCTTCTTCCCTTCTTTTCACACAGCAGAGGATGAGCCTAGAAAGCAACCAAGTAAAGGAATAAGTAAATAATTAGAAAACCCAGATTTAAAAATAGCCTGCCTTGGGGCCATCTTTTTGTGCGATTTCTGTGGGCACTGTGTTTGGGTTTATGTTCCCTCAGACCTTTTTTATTTGATAGTTTCTCTCAGATCTTTGCAGGTATATGTTTTAGAAGGATAGTTCCTTACAAGCATTAATCTCTAACTTCCCATCATCCCTGCAGAGGAGGGAGGGAGGGAAAGTTTATATCTGCTTTACACCTAACAAGAATGAGTCACAGCAGCCAGAGGTCACAGATGTGGAAATGGGATCCAGGTGTCCCGACATCCCAGTTCTTTACTCTAACCAGAATACTATGCTCCCTGTTACAAAGTCTGCTGAAAAGGGTAGAAGGACTCTTAAGTAGCTTCAGCGGGCTTTGGATTAGGTCAATAGGTGGCCAGGTAGGGGGATGAGGGGTGAGGTCAGGACGCCATGGGAGGGGTGAGGCCACCAGCGCTGGCCTCAGCCCACCCACTTCCATCATCACTGCCTGCAGGACTGATGCAGGCTGACACAGTGCGGGGTGTGGGGAGGAGCGGGCACACCGCGGTGGCAGTGGTGAGGGAAGTAGACATGGGCAGACACGGCAGTGCTGGTGGGGGGAGGAAGGGAGTGGGCCTGGGTCCAACGCGGAAAGGGGAAGGAGGCGCAAGCCTGGCCCAACATGGCAGCGGCAAGGGGAGGGGAGGAGCGGGCCACCTCCACCCCTCAGGCCCGGGTCCACTCCTCCCCCACCCCTTCGTCGGCCCCGAGCCTGCTTCTGCCTTCCCCCTGATGCTGCAGCCCCTGAGCAGGCCTAGACCCGAAGCAGCAGGAGGGAAGGGGGGAGCGGGCCCAGATGGGGGGGCCACAGGGCTCCATCTCTGCCTGCTCCACCCCCTCCCCATCATTCTTGACGGGCAATTGGCTAGTGTGTGTATATATTAATATATCTACATTATAATATAAACATGGGGTCCAGACTTGCTCCCAGCAAATAGTGCTGTTGACTCCAGCAGAAGCAAGATATAATTCAGGGGCGGGCAATTATTTCGGGTGGAGGGCGGCTTACTGAGTTTTTTTTTTAAGCCATCAAGGGCTGCATGACAGGCAGCAAGGGGCTGATAAATATTAATTTTCTATATTTTTAGGGCCCCATGGGCCAGATAGAAAGGCTTGGCGGGCCGCATCTGGCCCACAGGCCGCATTTTGCCCACCCCAATTTAATTCGTACACAATCCCCAAAATAAAGATGATAGATAGTCCATTCTTGGTACATTGTTTTCTTAGAGCTAGAGTTCTTCCTCCAAATGACTCTTGTCTTTTCTTCTCTTCTTCTTTCCCTTTGGGGTAATTCATAGATTTAGATGATCCTTTGACAGGGCTTTTGTCAGATGAAGAGGAAGAAGCTGCCAAGAAACTGCCTCCATCAGGCCCCAAAACTAGCCCTGAAAGAAACACTGGGCCAGCCAAAGGGAAAGGTAATTGGAAATACTGTAAATAGACCCTGTCCCTTGAATTAGGTCCAAGTTGCTCGGTCGGATCGAAATTGGTCTTTCATCTCCTAGGACTTGGGTTCAAATTCTGGCATTATTCTAGCCCCAGATGGGTACTTTTTCACATTAGCAAGTTGGGGCACATTTGGTGTCTCTGTGGAGATTCAGGATTGGCAGAGTTAGGAGCCCTTGTGCCTAGGGTCACAGGTCAAGTTTGTGCTTTAGCTGGTAGAGCTGTGTGTCAGAGGAGAACATCCAGGATTCCTATAGCAGGAAATGCTGCCAATCCTTGGTGGAGGGTGCCAGTCCCAGGGAGTACTACAGTTCAGGAGTGAAAAGCTCTGGCAAAGCTGGGGCTTCTGGGATATCTGGAGCTCTACAAATTGGGAGTTGAGAGGCTGTTAAAAATGTCTCACCAAGCTCTCCAAAAGACAGATAATCCAAATAAATAAAAGTATGGACCTCCTGCTTTGTCACTTCCCTTTGATTTGTGTTTCTGGCCCCAGAAAAATCATTTCTGCATAAACATGTAGAAGACCCCACCAGACTGTGCCTCGTGTGCTGTGGAGGATAAACTCATACTGGAATCATGACTGTCACTGCTACAACAGCTCTTGATTCTGTTTAACAGAGACATCACTCTCTTCGATGCCTCACCACACAATGGCCCCCATGCGGAAGAAGGAAGAGCTGATGTTTGAAGATGATGCTGATGACCTCATGAGCGCCCTGGGGTTTGGCAAGAGTCTGAAGGGAGATCTGAAGCAGGAGAGGAAGGGGGAAGAGTAAGGCCCTTCCTTCTGTACACAAGGCTATAGATAGAAATGAAGCATTGAAACACTCCTGTGGGAGTTAGGCTTGGTTCCAGTCATTAAGTGCAGTGCTAGAAAGACTCTGTTATATTACCTCACATCTAAGTGGGTGCAGAGGCATGAACTGCTAGTGCTCTTGATGTTTCATTGGAGTTGTCTCCAAGTCAGGGGGAAAGGAAGAAATGGGGGTAAAAGATGACAAAATACTGGAGTTCAGTTCACTATGTCAGAGCAGCAGGATTGATTTATTAAAATAAATAGTTAGCAGTATTACCATTTGTCGTTGTCATTACTAATTCTTTGTACAGGGCCACATTGTGCTAGGTTCCTTACAAAACAGATTAAAAAGGTAACCTGGCCAAGATATTTGAGGTTGTCTGCTCCTCTCAGTTACAGTTCTGGGCTGACTGCAGAGTTGGTTGGGTTTTTTTAAACCATATGGGCAGAAATTTGAGGGAAGATCCTCTTCCACCTATTAGCCTCCTAAATATGATCCTTTCCCACCCTGCTCAAGTCTCTGAGCAGTCACTGATGCAGAAGTTAGGTTAGACCTTGCTGCTTTGGTGACCGGAAGGCACCTTACAGAAGCATGTAAGGTTGCTGGCTTCTCAGGGACTCTGGGAGGGTGGAATAGACTCTCACATAGGAACCCACGTCCAATTAAACACTTTGTAGGTGGAATTGTGTCTGGCCCTTAGGGTCTTGAGAAAAATAAAGCAACAGCAGAAGCTTAGCTTCTGCAGAAAATGTCCATGTCCCGCTAGCTCCTTGATGCATCCTAACTAACAAGATAGTGTTTTGGCCCTTTGCATCCCCTGCCATAGAACTATGTAACTCTTTGTGCTCTGGCAGAGAAGAGGTCCGCCCTGCCCGCTCCAAGCTGGATGAGTTGTTGGGACGAGGGACTTCAGCCAAACTCCTGGAGCGACCAGCCACGGGGGAACCAAAGGAGTTCAAACTGGATAAGAAATACCAGAAGAAGCCAGGTGAGAAAGATTTACTCTGGGAACTACAGCAGTGTCATGAGGGATATAATTGTGTGTGTAGTATTTTTATAATGGTAATATAATATTTATAATAGTATTTTTACAATGGTAAAAGTCCACATCTCAGATTATACCACTATGAATGTCTTTCTGCAGTTATAGCTTATTTCACTCAGAAAATCAGTATACCAGTAAAAGCTATTTTTCTTTCCTAGGCTAAGCCATGGCTGTGCTAGGAGGGCTTGCCATCCTTGTTGCTCAGCCCAAGTTTGACTTAAGCCTTTAGATGGGCAGGTGTTGGCATTGCCAGTAGTATTCTGTGCCAACTGTGGTTAAGATGGGTATGCTGTTTGGGGGAAGGGGCAGAGTTCCCCCTGTTTGGGGGAAGGGGCCCCATACTCTCCAATTGGTGCCCATGCACAGTTGTTGCAGTTACAGCCCTACCTCAAAGCTTTTCTAGTGGGGATAAGACCTGAGGGAATACTAGCAAGGCTCCAAACAGGAGAAAGAGCACATGAGTATGACTGTGAGTGTTGTGTGCTTGTGTGTGTATGCTGCCTACTTACCCCTAGAGATTGATGTTCAGACACCTGTCTATAAACAGATAAGGAAGACATTTGGGGAGACGAGGATTTCACCTTTGGTGCCTACCAGCCCACCCTGGCCTCCACCCCAGAAGGCCACCAGTCAAGACGTCAGTCTGTCAGGTATAATTTCCATAGAGAAATACCCGTGTCTGATGCCTTAGACATGCTGCCCCAACAACAGGAAGCTGGGGTCTGAAACCCTCTCAGGTATGCATGTGGATGTGTGTCTTTTTGTTTTCAGGTTTTCGTCAGAGAATATCAGTGAACTGAAAACTGATCAAAGGTCGAAACCAGCTACTCCACCTACCAGGAGCCCCCTGCGAAGCAGCAAAAATGGGGCTGATTGGCTGGGGCTGAAAGATGAGGACTTCATTGATTTGGACCCTCTGTCTCCACCTAAGGACTCAGCCAAAGGTATTTCCACAGCAGCCCCCTTGAATGTGCCATCAAGCCCCTCAGCTGCCAAGCAACCCAGCCCTGCCAGCCAACCCCCATCTGGGACAAAGCCGGCAGCAGCTAAACCTGCTCCAACAGAGGAGGAAGATAACTGGCTGAGTAATGCCCTGTCTCGGAAGAAAGCCCAGGTGCAGGGGAAGGTCAGCGAGGGAAGTGCTGGGCCCTCAGGTCCTGTGGTGCAGGACAAAGATGCAGATCCCATCTCTCACCCCAGGTAAAGAATCCCCTTCCCTCACCCCCATGGGCATTTCAGAGCTCCCATTGACTTCATCAGGGGCTTCTCAGTTATATAAGCAAAATTGATCCAGCCTTGTTCAGTCAGCTGAGGTGCAAGTTATAGCAAAATACCTTAGTCGGTTCCTTGACAAAACTCTTTCCAAATGTATAGCTATGGGCAGATTTCTCTTCAGGCATAACAACAGATGAGCCAGCGGGCTAGAAGTGAAGCATCCTCTTCGTATGCCGTCATGGTTTCCTCTAGAGTGCCTTTGCTCCCTCTGTCTGTGCAACTGAATGGTTTGAAGAGAGTGACTTCTGATCACTTCCATAACTGGGCTGCCAGGACTGGGATAAAGAGTTTATTTTCAGATGAAGGAAAGCACCTTTATTCTCTGGTCCCAGACAGATGCATCCATATTCCAGGATCATTTACACTGATATATAAACCAATGTAAATTCTGTTGAGGTCAAGAAGGGCCCAATGTGCAGCTATCCCAAGGTAGCTCATAGTAATAGGCAGCTATTACTCCATGCAGCAAAGGAGCAGATAGTAGCCTGTTAGCTTTTAGCAGGGCTACCCAAGGATGGACACACAAAGACAAAACCTAAACCAGTGTAACTTAGGCCTCTTGTGTTTTAACCCTAATTTTTCCCAGGGGGATAATTCTCTCTGGATTGGGTGAAGGTACCCCAGTTATGGGTTTTCCTTGTCTGTCTACTTCTTTTTTTTATACTAGTGGATATTACATTTGTCCATGTCTATCACCAAGGTAAGAGAATACCTTTGCAACTAGCAATGAGAGATTAGACCCGCCCCCAGTAGTCTTTTCCATTAATATTAAGATTTTGTGTTTTCCCACTGAAGAGACGTTTGTTTTCAGCCAACCAGATGCCTCAGGAAAAGGACCCCAGCACCCTGCTGCATCAGAGGACAAGCCTACCAGGGTGGAAGAGCCTGGGTATGTCTCCTTCCTGCTTCTGATCTCCATTCTCCATAGGAACCACTAAAGTGAATGGCAATGGCTAGTGTCAAACACAAGCATGTAAAGCTGTGGTCTTCATGAACAGTGAGATGGGGTGCAGCAGCTTTAAGGAAAAGCACCTCTGGTAGCTCTGTTTCTGACCTCTGCCCCTTTACACTGTTGTGTTCAGGAATGGACAGGCCTGGTGTTGTGCCATGTCACTGGGGCTTAAATTTGGAGAAACACAAAGTCCTTCAGGTTAACCAGAAAATGCCCCTTTAATTTTTCTCTGCTCCCCATGAATCCTGCTCTGGGGCTGTGATGCCGCACCCAGTCACTCATCTATCTCCATCCATCCCACAGCTATCCCATTCCACGGCTGACCACTCCAAAACATGACTTGTCTCTTGCATCTGAGTCCAAGAGAGTGGCATCCTCGGGTGATACCAGCAGTGCTGGTATGTTTTGTCTCCCAAATCAGCCCAACTATTAGGCAGTGGTTCCCACCCCATTTGGGGTCGCAACAATAAAAAATGGGGTTGCAGAGACACTCGACAGTGTCGACCAATTATGATGAAAATCACAGAAAAAAGCAGGAAACAGCAGTTTCCCCTTGCAGGCTGGCTGGGACCTGGCCTTCAAGGGGTTGCTTGGGGCTGGAGGAAGTGGGAAGAGGGCAATCAGGCAGGGGGTGCTACATGCATGTGCACACGTGCACTTGGCAGCCAGGCAGCATGGAGTGCAGCTCCCTCCAGATAGGTCTATGGTGGGGGAGGGCAGATTGAGGCCCCCCGCAATGAAGGAGGGAGGAGTGGGTTTGGGGGCACTGACCAGCCAGGCTAGTGCATGGGTCCCAGGGCCAGGGTGGGAAAGTGGGACCCAGCTTTGGGAATAGGATGGAGCCATGGGCAGCTCATCCAGGAGGCATCGGGGGGATGGTTCCCTGCTGCTGCATGCACACCCTGGAAGAGAGCCATGGGGGTGGGGGGGGCACATGCCCCCCAGATTTATGCACTGGGCAGGGGTGGATGCGGGTTGCCTGCTGCAATCTCAGGGCTCCCCACCCTACTGCCTTCATGCCCACTGGGCTGTTAAGGCCCCTGGGGGGTGGGTAGCAGGGTAGGGAGCCCTGAGCCCATAGTAGGCAGCCTGCATCCTGCCCACCTCCGCAGGCTTTGCTCCAGCCATGCTGCCCACAGGGGGGAGGGAGCGTTGATATTGTCTGCATCAGTTTGGGGTTGCAAAAAGTTCTAGTGTTTAAATGGCGTCATGCTGAGGAAAAGGTTGGGAAATGCTACACTTGGACCAAGAAAACCTCCTGGTTTCTCACTGGTCATGCAGACTGTGAGGACAGGAGTGACTTGGCTTCCTTGGCTGGAGCTTATATGGTGGTAGCCTGGTCCTCCCAAGACTGAAGCAGGGTATAATCAGAGCTAGGAGAGCTCAATTTCTCTTGGGTCAGACAAGAAGTCCTGTGTCACTGTCCTTGCATATGGAGTGGCCTGCTTTCATTGCCACATCTGAACTTCACCTGTGTTGAACTTTCAGGCCCTGTTGCTGCCTCCCAGGGACATCAGGAGAGTCTTGGCCCTTCCATGCTGACCCAGGTAGGAGTATAGCTCTACAGCACTGAAAACACATGTCTTAAGCACGTGTGCCCTTGGCTGTACAGCCATGGGGCAGGACCTAAAGCACACAAGCTGAAAGGGGAGTCAGCATCCTGAGTTATGTTCCCTGCTGCCTCACTGATTTGTTAAGTGACTCAAGGCCCAGTCACCTGCATGCACTGTGCATCAGTTTCTTTATCGTTAGAAGGGAGGAAGGCATTCTTTTTTTCCTAAGAAGCTTGTGGGCTTTTAATTACCTTAATCAAGCTAATTTCTTCTCTGGTCTAATCCCACTGCCTAACTGGATGCAATCAATATTTTTTACATCTTTGAGATATTTTGAGTCCTGCTTGAAAAATCTCAGCAATATAAATATACAAATATCATATTTTTTCATGAATAATGAGACATGAATCCTAGTTAAAAGCAGTTTGATAGTCTAGTTTCTCACCATTTAGATGTTTTGCATAAGAGAGTTCTTAGCAATTTCAGGGAAAAATTATCCAATTTTTTAAATACGAATGTGTTCAGCAAGTCTTGCTTGGTTTTCATCATCAAGGCTTCCCTGCATCCTGTGCTGTGGTGTGGCTGCTGTGTTAGGGAATAAGGCTTATCATTCCCAAGTGCCTCTGCAGCAATGAGACAGGACAGAACAGCCCACCTTGCCTGTATGGGTGTAGGTGGGGAGTCGTCCTGTCTTGTGAGACAGGGCCTTTGGAACTGCTTTCTTGGAAGAGAGCATCCAGCTGGGCAGTAGGATTAGATCAGACAAGGCAGCCCCAGAATGGGGGAGCCAGAATTTTAATGGGTGTTAACCAGGTATTGTTCCCAGAGCTGAGATGTTCCGCCACAGAAGTACATGAGATTTTCTTCCTGTGGTTATTGTTGCAGGTTGTCGCATCTGGGGCTTCTCTCCAGCAGGCTCTACTGCAGCAGCAGGTGAGGACAGCATACAGTTTCTCCAGGTGAGGATCTCCTGAGGCAGAGCCATTCTAAGAGGGCTCAGTCTCATTTCCATTGTCCTTGCAGCTCATGCAATCCGAGCCTTTGGCCCTGAGCTTGCTGAACACTGGGGACTACGAGAAGAGGCTGGTGGCTCTGCAGGCACAGTTGCGGGAGAGTGTGGCAGGGTACCAAGCAGAGCTGCTCAGCACCCAGACTCACCTGGCACAGCTGGAGAGCCAGGTGAGAGGCATATGGCTTGCCACAGGGAAGGCCGAGACAGGAATGGTTCTCTTCATACCGCACCAACTTTCACAGAAGGGCTGGGCTGGGTATCAGCAAAAGGCAAGACTTTGCTCCCAAGTAGAAGTCATAGAAAGATGTGGTCCATTCCTGTCTGGGGGGGTCACATAGAGGTGACAGGTCCATTGAGGGCAGCAGGGAGTGGGCCTGGCCACCTTAATAGATACCCACCCTCAGACTTTCAACTCAACTCCTGCTTTCCTGGCACCTGCCTCCCAACCTATCTCTATCCCAGGAGTGATCCAGGCAGTGATTTGCATTTGGGCAGGGGTGGGTGATTATTTTGGCTGGAGGGCTGCTTAACGAGTTTTAGTGAGCTGTCAAGGGTCACAAGAGTGGTCTCATCCCTTGACAAGTGTCCTACCCCCTGGTCGCCATCTTGAGACTGGAAGTCCTGTCCCTAACCCCTGACCTTTGCCACCAAAAGTCCCTCCCTTTGTCTCCAGAAGTACCCCTTTTCGGAAGGGGGTTTGCCATCTTGGAACCGGTAAAAAACCCAAAATTATTTACTAAAAATCAAACATCCACAATAACATTTTTAAATTTTATTTTAAAAAATATTTTGTCCTGATTTGTGTGTTTGTGCTGAGTATATAGAGGTGATTGCATAAGAGCTCAAAATGAAATCTTATTGTTATATATTGGCAGGGTGTGAGTGTGTGTGTGTGGGTGGGTATGGGGTTTGTGGGGAGCCATGGGGTGTGTGGAGGGGGAGGGTGTCTGGGGCTTTATGTGTGGGTATATGTGTGTGGTGGGGTGTGTGGGTAGCAGTGACCAGGGCTCCCCCCAGAGGCACGTGGGTGTTGGCGGGGGAGGGGTTGTGGGGGAGGATGTAAGACATTGTGGTGTTTGTGAGGTATGTGATTGTGTGTGGGGGAGGTTGTGGTTGTGGGGAAGGATTTGAGGGTATAGTGGGGTGGGCATGGGAGCCCCCCTGTGCACGTGCCCCCCCTGAGCCTGTCAGCACCCACCCTGCAACAGCCTGGAGTCTACACACCCTGTGGCGCCTCCCCACCAACACCAACAGCACGCAGCCCCAGCGTGCCCCGTGCCTGCTCTCTACCTCCGCACCATGGCACGTCCTGGCTACGGACATGCAGCGGGGCTGGGGCAGCTTCACAGCTGAACTGCCTTTCTAGGCAGCCCGGGCAGCGACGGCTCCTTCCACCTGCCATCGCCAGTGCCCCCAGCCTCGCAGTACCAGCGGAGACCTGCACTGTGCCACCTGGCCGTGGCTCATCCTGCTGCCCCCTGGGCATGAAGGGATACAGCAGGGCTGGGGGCAGTGGTGGCGACAACCAAAAGGAGCCACTGCTGCCTGGGCTGCCTCAGAAGGCAGTCCTGCCACAGAGCTGCCCCAGCCCTGCTATGTGCCTAGGGGGCGGCAGAATGTGCCATGGCCAGGCGGCACCTGGGTCAGGCAGGACCATGGGACCCACTGTAGGCTGGACAAAGCCCGTCTGTGGGCTGAATCCAGACTGCAAGCCGTATTTTGCCCACCTGTGTCTAGGGGGATATGACTGCAGGAAAAAGAAGTTTTCCTATGTGTATGCCTGATTTTTTTCAGGTGCAAAAACTGGAACTGGAGAGGACTCAGCAGAAGTTGCTCCTGGAGAGTCTGCAGCAGCGACACCAAGAAGACTTGGAGCTCATTGAGAACGCGCATAGGTATCACAGTTGTCCACCTACCTTCATTAGTCCACATAGGTCTTGCCACAGTATCCCCAGTGTGCCCAGTCCCCAGTTCCCTGTTCTGTGCCCAGCACTTGGTCTGATTCTGTAGCTGAAGCATTGACCATTAAGTGGGCATTCAAAATGCTACCTCCAGACTCTCCATTGATTCTGTGAGTTACTTTGAGCAAGTCACGTAACCTCTGCCACTGTTGGCCCATTTTGTGATGGGAATCACAACACTGACCTCCTGTGGAAGGGGCATCATGAAGTTAATAGCAGTGCTGTTGCTTGCTGTCCCTAGCTCTGCCACCAACCAGTGGATGCCTTGGATTATCACTCACTAAATTTCCCTGTCCCTCAGTTTTCCCACACTGTAAAATGAAGCTAATGGTACTAGTCTTCTTTGTAAAGCACTTGGATATTAACAGAGGTTAAACCCTTGGCAAGAGCTGGGTGTTGCCATTAAATCAGCAGCCAGATTCCTAAACTGGCATTCACATTTGAGTTCTGCATTTAAAAGCAGATCCTTAACCCAGGCTTTTCAAGCCCTAAGCATCTACTAGTGCCCATGTACCTTGGGAACAACTTCCACAGCCCATAGGGGTTTCCTTTTAGGAGTCGTGTGAAGATGGTGGAAGACTCCTACCGTCAGCGCGAGGAGAGGCTGCGGCAGGAGAACGAGCAGCTAGCAGCACGACTCCTGTCCCAGTGCCAGAATGCAGAGCAGGCCAAGGCTGAGCTCCTGGCCCAGCATCAGCGCCGACTGGCAGAGCTAGAGCAGGAGAAGGTGCAAGAGGTGGAGAGGCTGCGGGAGTTGCAACGGTAAGGGAGGTTGTGGAAGGGACAGGCAGCCAGCCTGGAGGAGAGGGGCAGGGCCTGACCTTCACATCCCGCAGGGGTCAACACTCTTGGAAATGGGTTGAAAAAATGGTGGAGCTGACAGGGAAGTGGGTTCAATTGGGGCCAAGAAATATTAAGCTAATTTGATGGTATAAATAACAGCATCAGCCGTGCTGCACAGGGCCCTAGCACTTGTTCCCCGTATTATGGGTTATGCAGTTACCTATGAGCATTTGGCCCTCAATGCGAGGAGGCTGAGGAGGCATCTCACCTGGCATGGCCTTTATCTGGCCTGTGCTGTCTGCAGCGTGTGGCCTGGGGCCTGGTGTTGAGTTATGTGAATAACGCAACCTGAAAAACCTTTTTTAAAAATTAAAATTAAAATTGTTTGGGGTCAACCTGACTTGAAACTGGTTCGGTTTTCTCAGGCAAATGAAGAATGGAAAACAAAAAAATTCTTTGCACGTTGACTAGAGTTGTCCATAACAGATTTGTTTTCTAAACTTTTAATACCTTTTTAAAAAACTAATTTAGGCAAATTTGGTCTCAAAGTGTCATTTCAAAATGAAAGATCAAAATGCCTCATTTCAAAGCTGTTGAAGCAAAATCTTAGGAATTTTTCCAGTTTTTTTTCTGTTTTGCAAGTGAAGTAATTGGCTGAATCTGGCACAAACATTTATTATAGTTTCAGTAAACCCAAAACTGCATATTTTGGTGAATAAATTATTCATCCAAAAATGCTCTCCCAGCTTTAGCCAGGACTCCAAATCACAGGGACTTCCCTCCACAAAAAGGGCCTTTGGGTTTGCTCAGTCATGACTTTCTACTGGAATCCTCCAACTCTTCATACCTTTGGTGGGAATCAGTAGATTTCTCCCAAGATTTTCTTTTGGGAATGAGATGTCTCTTTGGAGTCACCCAGTGACCATTTGCAGTTGATCTCACCTGGAGCCAGAAAACTGAGATCAGTCTAAAAGCTGCTTCAGTTCAGCTTTTGGTGTCCCTTACCTGGGTTCAGACCATGGTGGTAAGAACCATGTGATTTCCCCGTCCTGCTTCATATGAAACATAAGTAGCAAAGTGTTAGTAAAGGTGTCCTTCCCTCTGGGTCCTACAGGGTATCCATTTTGGAAATGTGCAGAGACCACGAAGAGCAGCTACAGAGGCTAAAACGACTGAAAGATCAGGAGATTGATGCAGTCACCAGTGCCACTTCCCATACCAGGTACCATCTACCCCATCCACCTTGCCTTCGTTTTCCAGCAAGATTTCCCCCTTTTCCCAATCCCTGTCCCTTTCAGAGTGTGATGGAGGTTCAGTTTCTCTTCCTTTTCTCAAGTAGTTCAGCTGATCCTTCCTCTTTGTGTTTGGGAGTCTCTCAAAAGCAGAGCTTCTTTTTGGAGCTGGTATCATATAGACTTCCCTAAAGGTGGTACCCTTCAGAGGGTGCTTAAAGAAGGATCATGTCCTCCTGAGCTGTTGAGTGACAGTCCCCAAAGTGTGTGGTGGTAGTAGATGACTGGAGGGCTGGAACATAGGATGGACCCCAACAAGGAGAAGAACATGAGATGCTGGGGATGTGGCAGGGCATCTGAAAAGGAGTGATTGGTTCAATGACCAAGGTTATCTTGACTTACAAACTTATCACAGCCAGTAAATCTGAAGGCCTCACCCTGACCCCAGAGAGAAAACAGTCTCTCTCATTTGCTGCCCGTGAGAAATAAGGATCAACTGACCACGGGAGGTTCAGGGTAGAGCTATAATTGCTGAAATTTGTTGCCCAAGGAATCTGATCTCCCTTTTCCCCAGAGCCGTACTCAGAATTTGACTCATTGTTTCAAAATAGATCTTCCTAGCCCTCCTGGTATGAGAGTCACCTTTAAAAACATGAACCTTTGCAGCTACTGTGTGACCAAGATGCTGCCTTTTTTCTCGTTCAGGTCTCTGAATGGTGTCATTGAGCAGATGGAGAAGTTTTCCAGTAACCTGAGTGACCTGTCCCACAAGGTGGAGGTCACACATCAGAACACATCACAGGAGCTTGAGATTGGAGCCCGGCAGCGAGATGAGCAACTCCGTGGTACCAGCCTTCTTCTCTAGCACAGCCATTAGTACTATTTATATTATGTGATCCTCCTTGACCCCAACACAACTTGTAGTGGCAAGGCAGGCAAGCAGAGGAACAGATGGTCACTGCCCCAAATAGCTGATAGTCTTAAAGTTGGGGGTGGGGATTACTGTAGTGTCTCAAAGGTCTTGTCGTGGACCTAGATACTCTTTATACCAGGTGCTGTGCAAACACAGGATAAGGAGATGATTGTTTCTCTATTTTACAGGCTGGGAATAGGCCCAGAGAGAGATTGAATGACTTGCCAGAAAGTCAGAAGCAGAAACCTGACTGGCTACATCCCAGTGAGGTGTCCTTCTCCTTTATAGTGTGTTGACCTCTCTGCAGAAAATGGCAGTAGCTCACCAAGGATTATACCCAAGGGCAAATGAGAATGCAACAGCCAGAGATGCTGTAAGCTTAAAACAGCTTCTCCACATACATGCTGCAGATATACAGGCTTCTTGCTGGAGGTGCCATCCCAGCTTGTTCAGACTGAGGGACACTTCCCCAGATGTTACAGACCAGCCCAATTGCAATGGAGTCAATGGATCAACACCAATTCACAGCACTTGAAGGCTCTGGCCTTAGGGTGGATACAGAGGTGCCTTATAGTAGACCATGACATTACCCTGGGAACCCCTGTAGGCTTCCCTAATGTGACTCTTTCCCCGCTCCCCTCAGTGCTGCAGGATAGACTGACACAACAGCAGAGAGATATGGAAGATGAGCGGGGTCGGCTGCAAGGGGTCATTGCCAAAATGGAGGCCAGGCTAGGGGAGCAGACGCGGCTCCTGGAGCAGGTGAGCTTGGGTGAACAGTCTATGTCCTCCATTCAGCATTGGCTCTGATGGAGGAGCCTGCACCTTTTCCACCTCTGTATATGATGCAGACATTTCCCTGAGCTCCCACCAAGGCAGGAACATCATCAACCTCAGGTCTGGGCTTTCTGCTCCACAGCTTCCATTCTTTCCCCTGTGTCAAATGAGTTCCAGCTCTGTCTGTATTTGGGAATAAGAATGCTTTGCTCTGAATGGCCTAATGAAGTCCTAACCACTCCTATGTTGAAGACTCAAGGAATTTTGTCTCATAATGTTCTCAGAATGGGGAACCTGACCACCTGGTGTGAAACAGCCACAACTCAACATCCCAGTAGCAGGTGGATCAAGAAGACTTGAGGCAGGGGTGGAACAATCACATTTTCCATCCTGTAACAGCCATTTGTGGGGGAAGGGAGAGTTTGAAAATAGCCTTCCCAGGTGGTGAACAAAACTCAGGCCTTGGAGTTTTGGAAGCCCAAGAAAAGGGTAGTGGTGAAACATCACCCTGGAAAAGGGCCAATGTGGTCCCTATTTGCAAGAAGGGGACGAAGGAGGATCCAGGCAACTATAGGCCAGTCAGTCTCACCTCCATCCTTTGCAAAGTCTTTGAAAAGATTATTAATGCTCATATATGTGAGAACTCAGCAGGAAAAATTATGCTGAGGGGAAACCAGCATGGGTACATAGCAGGTAGATCATGCCTGACTAATCTAGTTTCTTTTTATGACCAGGCTACAAAACACCTTGACACAGGAGTAGGGGTTGATATTGTTTACTTAGACTTCAGGAAGGGCTTGGATATGGTATCCCACCCCATGCTGGTGAACAAGTTAAGAGGCTGTGACTTGGAAGATTACACAGTCTGGTGGGTGGCAAATTGGCTAGAGGGTCATACCCAGAGAGTGGTAGTGGATGGGTCGGTATAGACTTGGAAGGGCGTGGGTAGTGGGGTCCCACAAGGCTCGGTCTTTGGACCGATACTATTCAATGTCTTCAACAGTGACTTGGACGAGGGAGTGAAGTGTACTCTGTCCAAGTTTGCAAATGATACAAAACTGTGGGGAGAAGTGGACACACTGGAGGGCAGGAAACAACTACAGGCAGACCTGGACAGGTTGGACAAATGGGCAGAAAACAGTAGAATGCAATTTAACAAGGAGAAATGCAAAGTGCTGCACCTAGGGAGGAAAAATGTCCAGCACACCTACTGCCTAGGAAATGACCTGCTCGG